TTTGAAATTTTTCATATATTCAAAATTTTCAAATTCATAAAACTCACGGCTTTTGTCCACGTAATAACCAGGGTCACCAAAATTAAATAGATAAACGCAATTAAATGTAACGCCATTTATTCTAATCTACACTAACTAGTATACAATAATAAACAACCACAAGGTCGATCTGACTCAGCATTTTGAAATGAGAAGATAAGATAAAAATTCCACGGACTTTCTGTTTCATGTAATACAACTCTAGAGACCCTTTTGAATAAAGTTCCCGAAAAGTAAACACGTGTTCAGGTCATTCAGATATTGAGTGCGAGTACGTAAGGGTGCGAAGGGATTACGTTTCACTGGACAGCGCCGATTGGTTGACACCTGGCGTCAGACGCTTCGTGGATGGGTGGCCTCTATGCCGATCGTTGGACTCCACGTATCGGTGCCTTCATTGTTGACTCACTGGTGGAACTCTACGAGTTGGTGGACATTACACGCCGCATATTTACCTTGTCATGGACTGTGTATTACCCGCCGGGTCGTTGGACTCACGACCTAACATTGACTAGATTTGATACCTTAGTGTCCGTTAGCCTTAACAATGAACCCGTCCTCTAGTAGTATGTAATTGCCGTCTAATGGCCGCACCGCAGGACCTGTTTTGCGGTCAGTCAAGTTGTCTGCAATCAACTACCGCTGTCCTACCATTTCTTATAGAGTAGTGCAGATTCTATGTTATCCGTCATACCCCCTGAGTTCAGATGGATAATCCAATAAACCCGTTAAGTGGGTATTGTCTCTGTGAGTACGAGTAGGCGGATGTTTATTCCACCTTACTACTACAATATACATAAGCTTACGTATTGCGAGCAAATGTTAGATAAATTACTCTGCCAAACACAACGATATCATGAATGAATTGAACATGGTCATGTATTGATTCAATTGTAATTATGCTCGCAATATGATCTGTATGAATTTATTAAAACAAAATAATATTCTCTACATAAATATTATAGAATTTTATTTATTAATTATATCAAACAATAGGCACAAACTGTATGTACAGATTATAGATTGTCAATATTATTAATATAAGAGACACTACGCTATTGTGCAGAATACTTAATAATCTCAATGACCTGGCTGATTACTTGCTTAGCAATAATCATGTTATCGATATTTGTTTTTCTTTATAAAGTTATGATACGTGTTATTATATATTATATTATAGTTACTGTATATACACTATAGTGGAGTTAATTGTTTGAAAATTAATAACAATTGTCACCATTTTGTATAATTATTATATAAATAAATGTTTATTGATTATTGAATTAATATAATTAATATTCATGATTATTATTATTTGTGAAAAATATATTATTTAATAAAATGTCAACTGTAATTAATAATTATAAAATTTGTGATCAAATACCACAACATTTAAAACAAGAAATTAAATATTTTTATGTTTTTAATGACTGGGACGGGCATAACATACTATTTGTGACATTTGATGATATGGTGTATGGATTGGGATATAATAAGTTTGGTCAGCTCGGGTTAGGACACAATACACCCATTCATACACCACAACGAGTGCCACAATTATGCCATCAAAATATTCATCAATTTTTCAATGGATATGACTTTGCATTGGCTGTCAATACGGATAATAATGTGATATTCAGTTTTGGTCGCAATGATGAGGGACAATTGGTACGGAATGTGGATATGGATAGAAATGTATATCACAAACCGGATACTATATTATACTTCCAAATAAACAATTTAATTATTTCACAAATAAGTTGTGGTTGGAGTCATACAATTGTGTTGACATCAAATGGACAGGTATTCGAGTGGGGGTGTAATAACAGGGGACAGGTTGGTTTTGGTAATGAAAGTATTCAATTAGATCCAACTCCTGTTGAATTTGCCGCTGAATATCAAATTAGTAAAATAGAGTCCCATATGAATTCATCACTTGCTCTTACTTGTGAGGGACAGGTGCTTATATGGAAAGAGGTAGATAGAGATAATATAATAAAGACACCATATCAATTAGAAATTGAAATTAACATGCAAAATGCACTTCCACAAAGTTGGCTTTGTGTATATTTGTTATCTAGCCATGGTCAATTATATGGATATGACTTTCATAATAAGTCTTTAGAAAAATTATCACATTTTATGTTCAATGAAATCAAACCAAAACGTTTCTCAGATATTGTGGGCAAATCTGGTGATAAAATATATGAAATTGTTGGCAAAGATCTGTTTGAAACCAATTATACATCATTTGATGATTATTTTACATATGGATTACAAATCACTTTTAATACAATTTCAACACATATTCAACAAAATACACAAATTTGTGGTAAATATTACAATAATGCCATAATTTTTGCCTCAATATGTTTTGCATTGAATTAATTATTATTATTATATTTTACTATAGAAACTCAGGATAAGTTGAATAATTCAATATCATTTGAAAAGTCATTTGATTTAGTAAATAAGCTTGGTGAGGGTGGCTATGGACAGGTATATGAAGTTCGAGATAAATGTAACCATGAATTATATGCAATAAAGAAATGTCTTTTAAATGGTAAATATATTTAATTTTATTTTCAAAATTATGATAATTTTTATTATATTTGAAATTTTCGAAAGCGTTGACAGGAAAAGAGAAACAAAATGTTTTGAATGAAAGGCAAAGTCTTTTGAAACTTCGGTCACAATATGTGATTATATACTACTATTCATGGATTGAATGCAATTGTCTTTACCTTCAAATGGAGTTATGTATCAATAATCTCAAAAATGTTTTGGAAACTAAGAAATTATTGTTTAATGAATTGATGACTATTTCTGAGTTTTATATATCGTATCATATATTTCATAGACTCACAGAATGTGTGCAATATTTGCACAAAAATCATATCATTCACAGAGACCTCAAACCGGATAATGTGTTGATTTCAATGGACAGAGAGATAAAGTTATGTGACTTTGGTTTGGCTAAAGAGGTCTTTAAAACCGATTCATATCTTATGTCCGATGATGTGGGACATGCCAGATATCAGGCCCCGGAGGCTCTGGGCGAAGATTATAATCATTTGATAGATATCTACAGTATATCCCTAATTGGGGCCAAAATTTTTGGTTTCGATACAAAGGATATTATCGACGGAAAGTATGGTTTCATTTTAAAATAATTTTATTTATAAAAAATTATATTAAACATTCATATCACTGTATAATAAAACTAGGGCTCCCAAACCTCAAATTGGAGGATTGTCTTAAAAACGGGCTCTCAAAAACAGTCCTCCCGAGGGTTTAGGAGGACATTGTAATGTCCTCCCAGAAATAATTGTCAAAATAATGCAAAATATTCATATAATTTTCAATTACTTTGTGAAAATCATGAAATTTATATATAAATTGTTTGTCGACTCAAGACTCAAGTCATAACAGAATACTACTCTTGACTTGAGTCCGACTCAGAAGTTATTCAGATTTTGAGTCCAGTTTCACGACTCAGGTCATGAGCCTTAATACTTTTCAAAGCATTGACGGCAGTCTCACAAACAAAACACAAACTAGTTTTCAATGAATTCAAGTAATTTTGAAGCAAGCACATGTGATCACAACTTCTGAGTCTTAAGTCGCTCTCAAGTGGAGTAAGAGGTATATTACTTCCCAGTTTGTAGTCATTGTTTAACCAATTTATGATACAATTATTAGGATTACAACATGTAGTGTATTGAGTTTAAATTGTAATTAAACTTAAATTATTGTGGGACCAGTTGGTGTTCAATTATGTAACAATATTAGTAATTAAACATTTTATTTTTTGTCCTCCTAATGTCCTCCCGTGCAATGAAAATAGTTGGCAACCCTAATATAAATCGTATAGCGTGTAATAATACCGTATTTCTAATTTTAGGTTTAAAACATTCACAAAATATAATAAAGTTATCAATGAATGGATGAATAAAATGAATGCATTATTGGTGTCAATGAGTGTTAATAAGTATCGCAAAAATGGTTCAACAGATTGGAGGCAAAGACCCGAATGTTCGCACATTTTATCACAATTGCAGACATTTATGACAAATAAACCCATTATTGGAGACAAAGAATTCAATTCTGTATTGAATACTATTATTGACAGAATTTAATACAGATTTCTAAATTTTAAATTTCTAGTTTTAAATTAAATATCTATTTATATTTGGTTACGCGCCATGCAACCTTAGTATTTAAAGTTATTTAAGTGTATTCAGACAAATAAACCCATTATTGGAGACAAAGAATTCAATTCTGTATTGAATACTATTATCGACAGAAAATGTGATATATTTTACAAACTATTTATGGAAAGCAATCCATTTTGTATAATCCATATGACTGATGGAAATATAACTAATGGTTAGATATTTAAAGTTTAATATTGTTTCAAAGTGCAAACTTTAATATTTACAATATTTATATCTCTAGATGAAACTAACATTAACTCAATTAACGAACTAATGTTTGAAATAATCAGAACACAATTTACTGGCAAAACATGTCATATACATCAAGTTAAACATAAAACTTCTCAACAAATGTATTCGTTATATACCAACTATATTGAATTATACAGTAAGACTTATCATAATATACTTTTTTGTGGTAGATAAAAATGGATTGTACATTTTTACTCTGCTTTAATACTATTTAGCATATTATCAAAGTATATTACAGTATTTCATTGAATTCATGTTAATCCACAAATACAAATACAAAAAACCGCTCTCACTTGAGTTCAATGATGTATCAGGTACAACATCTGTTAGAATGACCAGATATTTATGGGCACCAGGGTAGACATTTGTCATAAATATAATGTCTTGAAGAGGAAGTTAGGAGGACAGGCTATTTTCAAATCTAAATTGTTTATTTGTCTGAATACACTTAAATAACTTTAAATACTAAGGTTGCATGGCGCGTAATTTTGCGTAATTTTACGCGTAATTTACGCTGTCAAAAATATTTTACGTAAAATTCAATTCAAGAAAAAATAAATAATTTTGTTTGTAATTTTGTTAATAAACGCCATCTGTTGTAGAATTTACACAAATGACCAGAATCAATTGGAAAATAAACGTGTGGAAAAATTAGTTGCAGTTCAATCTCGGTATAATAGTTCAAATTCTAATGATATCATTCAGATTCTTCCGATTCTGATGATTCTGATTATAGAAATGATAGTGACATTGAAATAATAACTAATTATAACTCAGATTCTGATGTAAATTCCAGTGATATGTCATTTTAATAAAAATTTTGCTTATTTTTGATAAATTACGCTAAAATGTAAAATTACGTAATTTTACGCCAAAATTAAATTACGCGTAATTTTGCATGGTTATTAAATACTGATCGAATTTATACAAAATAATAACTTTATAATTAAATAGTTATCAAATAATTAACTTTATAAAACTATTATTTATTGAGACGAGTATGAACTTTATTTGATAAAACAATTTTTAAAATGTATCTTGTCAAAAATAGTATTGAATATAATAAACTAGTAGAAGTTAGCAAATTTATATTCTCAAACTTACTATAAAACACAGAAAATTAGCAAAAACGATATATTTGATGCAATTTATGTTCAATGAGGACATCTCAATGTCCGACTCATGTCCACAAACGCAAATGCATAGAACCGCTCGCACTGTAGTTCAATAGTGTGGTCCAGTACTCAACCTGTACTGTATGTGTACTTTATTTACTTTATTCAAATTGTAGATTTAGTTCCCTGTTAAGTAATGGGTTGAGTGTACTGGCTCAAAAATCCAAATAGTTTCTGGCGCGAAATTACCATTATTATTATTAAAATGTGGAATTATTTAGCATAATTTTTTATGATAATTATTGAACTATTATCCAATTTTTTATATCGATATTTAAAACTTGTTTAATATATAGAAACTAATTTTATGTGTAAATTCTATCTAGATAAATATACCTTGAAGTACATTAAAGCATTGTCTGAATATGCGGCTAAAAACGAGTGCAACTCATGGATAGAAACTAATGATATATTCATTCAAATGAAATTGTGTTCAGACGATGAGATTCAATTAATTGGCAATGATCTGGATCAACTGTTTAAATATTAAAGTTCATTCAGTATTTACACCAAGCATAGTAGTTCATAATTGCCATTATAGTTTAATATAAAAATTGAAAACTTATCCTGTAATATATAATTGTTCATGTTACACACATTTAATATAATTATTGTCATTCCAGTAAAGTATTTTAATCCTGGAAGAAATTTATTTTATTACTTTAATTATCTATTAGTAATACCCTGGATAGGATTACTGTAAATTTAACATCATTTATTATTTATGTATTTCATTTTAAATATTCATTAAATTTTTAATATTCATATTTATATAAAAATACATTTTTTGTTTTCAAATAATAGTTTTTAATTTAATACAGATTTCTAAATTTTAAATTTCTAGTTTTAAATTAAATATCTATTTATATTTGGTTAGAGACATGCAATCATTCAATTAAATATAATTTTTAATAATTTTTAATTACTTTATAAGTCTTATAGATATATTCAAATTTAAATTATATATTAGTATACAGTACTGTAGAATACAGTAAATATTTGTTTGTAATTTAATAATAGATTTGTTCATAACTTCATTGTATAAATAATTTTCTAAACTACAGAATATATTATTATTACTAAACTACAGAATTAAAACCCCAATTAAATTAAAGTACTAAAATAACCTTATATACAATTGCATTTATTTTCAGATTAACATTATATTATATACTAAGTTATACACCGTTGTTACTAAATATGGAACCCATTTGGGAGGCTTGGCGTTTGGACACCCTGTACTATTTTTTGATGATTCCTTTTCGAAGGTGTAGAGGAAGAGTTAGATTTTTATGTGGTATATAATTTGTCAAGGTTATATTGGTAGAAAAAATATTAACCTCAATTATTTCTCTATGTAATAATCGTTTTCTATGCAAAAACCTCTCAAAATAACTTAATATTTTCCACGGTTTTTGAAAAAATCGAGTATATAACTTTTTCTACAAATATAACCTTGACAAATTATATACCACATAAAAATCTAACTCTTCCTCTACACCTTCGAAAAGGAATCATCAAAAAATAGTACAGGGTGTCCAAACGCCAAGCCTCCCAAAT